GAATAATTCAGGAATTTTTATCATTTATCATTTTCTACCCTACAGCTCAAGCAAAATCCTTGACTTGACTTGATTTGACCCTTTATTAAGTGTGCAGCTAGAAACTTAACTAAGGCTGGTAGAAATGTTACAGTATTGCTACTTATATATAACATCTCCAATGTCTCATCCTTCTTCCCTCCCTACCATTAAAAATAGCAGTTGATTACTGAAGGTGCTAAGATCTTTAGGGTATGGACTGTTTCTTCCTATGTATTTGTACAGAGTAGGACCCAGATCCTGACTGGGGCCTCTGGTCACTGCAGCAGTATAAACATTCACAAATCATTGCTTCCCAAGAATGTTACGAAGGCGAAAGTAGCGTATTTCTTCATTTGATTGCAGTCTTATGAAGAGATGCAGGGGCCCAGGCAAACTAACTAACTGATTATCTTTAGAAAGGGTTTATCACTTTAGGGTATTCATTATGTAAAACCTCTGAATGTTGCTGCTTTTGTTCACAACAACTTGCTCAACATCTTCCGCATATAAAACCAGTCTGCTCATGGATTATTTGCGCAGATTTAGTCAAGCCAGGCGTGGCTCTTTGGAACTAGTTTAAAAGCAGGAAGGTCATGTTAGGTAGTGAAATGATATTTCTTTAGGCTAGATCCACTAACACTATTTTAATTGGGACCCACGCATTGACACTGACATAAGAGAAATCTTGAGTGCTTTGTTCTGTTCGTGTTCATTGAAGGTTGATGTGTTCATTTCATTTAGAAATGATTGTGGTAACTGACTTATTGGAGCTGTATTAGAATACCAATGGAAGATGCTGGTACCTCTGAATTATGTGTGTTGTGAATAAAGCTTAAAGGTAGATAGACATGTTCTGTCCCCTCCTCCCTCAGACAAAAAAATCGCACAGGAAAACTCTATTAGAAGATACTGCCTACCTGAGAACCAACTATTAGACTTCCAGCAGTCATTTACCTGATCTTTTTTTGTCCATTTCAGCTATGACTAGCATGTTCCATCATGCACTTAAAACCTCTGGTGTAGCAAAGATTCCATATATGGAGATAAGAAGAGTCTGGTTTTATTCAACAGTTAGTCTTCTCAGGTTTCTTCCTCCCAAAATATTTTTTATTTTGATACTAGACAAACTACCTCTTCTTACTGTTTGTAAACTCCAGTGGGATATATTCTGTAACATTGCCTCGGCAGACCTCACTGTGAAGAGAACGTCTTACAAATCTACCTGTTAGAAATGGCATGCTATATGAATTGGACAGATTAGAGACCTGGTTTGCCCTGGAAAATGATTAATTGAAAACCCTGGCGAGACCTTAAACCCTAACTATAAAAGATTACGCCTTGCTCACCTTAGCAAGGAGCAAGTCATTACAGATAGATTCACTTTGTATGGAGAGTTTTCAGTTATTAAAAATTATACTGCCAAATGTTGCAACAGAAAGAAAATGCTCTGGTAAACTCAAAACTTCTCAATAGCCACAGGGACTCAATTGTTTGCACCTTTAGAGGAAGTGCCTATCACAGGGCTTGTCATAGTATCCATGTTTTCTTTTAAATCCAAGCTGTCATGGTCAATTAAGCAATTGCAATACTTGAACTTGTCTTATTAGTGGCAACAGAAGTTAGAGAAGGATCTAGGGTTTTGTGGGAGGGTTTTTACTTTTGGTAAGAGATTGTGTGATATGTGTGCTGTTGCAATCCTTTTCCTAGCTCAGAAAAAGCTTAGCATAGCTTTTGCAGGCTCAGCCAGAGGGATGCTTTCCTTTATCTTAAATGGCAAAGTAGCTGTGTCTGTAGACAAGAAAGATGCCAGTTTGAGTGTCAGCTGCTGTGTGGTGTGTTAGTAGTTCGGTTTTTCTAATCAATATTGTCATAGCATGTCCAGCATGGTAGATAGAATTTCACCGGTTAGTTAATTCAAGTACACATATCAGTCACTGCCTAGCAAATGCAGCAAAGATGATTGAGCCCTTAGTAATCTAGGGTTAATACTGGTGCAGCTCTATGCACAAAATCAATGTCATTATCCATTCTCCCAACACTATTGCACGTAAAAAGGGTGGGAGTGTTTACTGGTGTCACCCTGCCAGAAACACTAGCCAATTATTTTTGATGCATTTCGTAATTTAAAAGACGGCGTCCAAGGTTTAAAAAAAATCAAACCAAAAACATTTGCAAATCATTTTTTTAAGTCAGTTTTTGTTTTTAAATCATCTCTTGGAGGATAGATGCTGAACATCAGTGTGGCACCATAGACAAGGCTGAAGTATGGTTTGTAATTTGGATGCCACATTATTGGAGGGATATTGAAGCAATAGTACCCCTCCCCCCAGAAGAGGTTGATAAAGACTAAGCAGTTGCAGTTGTCTGGAAAAGTTAGAAAAATTAAGCTGCTTTAATTAGAACAGAGGAGATGCAGAGAGGCCTGAAATGCCCAGAGCAATTAGATGTCACTCAAACTATCTCACAGAGCAACAGGCTGAGAAGCAAGGAAGTGCACACGGTAGCTAAGAAAGCACTGGGCATGAAGCAACAGAGGGTCCTGTGGCACCTTTAAGACTAACAGAGAAGTATTGGAGCATAAGCTTTCGTGGGTGAATGCCCACTTCATCAGACACAAGGGCATGAAGCAAGTTTAAGAGAAATAAGTCTGCATAAAGGGTAAGGAATGAGTGGAGCAGACTCCCAAAGGCAAAGTCCAAAAGTGATTGATGCTGACATCTGTCTGTTGGCTACATAGGGATTGCAAGACAGCTCCTGGAAAGATGGGGATCATGGGACTAGAAGTAGTAAGAAAATGTAATTCACCATTGTCACGCTGTTTGGAGTGGCTCATGACCATGAGTGCTAACCTCAGGGTAGACTGTCCAGAAGCAGGGCAGTGACCCCAAACTGATCATATGTTCTATAATTAAGTTTCCCCAACCCAGGAACAAGTGTGAACTCCTAAAGCACTGTACCAGTCTTACCATGGAGTCACAGACAGTACCTTTGGGCACTCCAGTTTCTCTTGTCACACAGACAAGCTGGACTTAATGATAGATGGTTGCTATGCACCAAAGATCACAAAATATTCAGGTTACTCCCAGTTCCAAAGGACCAGTCACCGACCCCAGGCCAATTTGTACCTTAGATTTCACACCAAAGAGAACTCTTGTAGCCAGTCCAATGATAAACTATATAAGGATTTATTAATTAAGAAAAGAAATGAGACTTATTACAAGGTTAAAGCAGGCGCGCATACACACACACACACACACATATAATACATACACATATGAGTTAGTCTATGGTTTTAAAAGGTGACAGAGTTGTAATAATGTGTCAGCTCTGA